CATACAGCTGATAGCACTAAGTTCTAGCGGTAAAAGTGAAGACACTTGAGCAACTTGCAGGAATGGAGTGAAATACGGAGTGTTTAACCACTCCTCGGATCCATGCCAGCACAGATTGTTTCTTAAACTTGGGTTTAGTCTGCTGCAGTAGTTTTTGTTCACGGTTTCAAGGTGCTTCCAAGCGGACACTCCTCCCTTGTCTTAAATGCTATAACTTATGTTTTAATGTGCCGCTCGAAATTGTCCCTGCATTGGCAGTGTCAGCAAAGCAGTCAATAAGCAAATGGGCCATGCAAACTGACCTGCAGTCCATCCCTTGCCTTGAAGATGAGGCACATTGGAAGATGCACTACGGAGAGTCCTGCACGGCTCCTGCTAGTGCTTTGCTTGCCATATGGATGCAACGGGGACTTCAGTCTCAAAGATGAGTCTACAGCAGCCCTAAATACAATGTAGAAATTCAAAGATAAAAGTAAAGATGAGTGCTGTATTTGCCTGGAATGGAATTTTTTTTTTTTAATTGGGCCTGTAATGAAAGCACTGTTGAGCGGTTGGTGCTTTTAATCACTGAGTACCGACAGCCCCTGAATGTTGGACACAGAAAATGTTTCTAAACACTTTTTATATACAAATGCAGTTTGCTGTTGTGGGTAGTGCCTTTCAGCTAAGGCTCTCAAGCTGTTTTTGGACCAGTCTTGCAAACACCTGTACATTGGGCAATTCAATTAGGCTGCTTATACAAATTGTGAAGCCCAAGGCAAGAAGTTAAATGACGTGTCTTAAGTAATTCACTAAGTCGGCAGAAGGGCTGGGAATAGGGCATTGGTCTCATTTCTTCCATCCATTTCTTCTCTGTCAGGAGATCAGAGGATGTGGAAGAGTCAGTTGAGAGAGTGAAGTGGGGACACCGGTTGTGAATCCTTCATTCCAATTAAGTCTGCTACGTAGTGTTTAAAAAGTGCTTCTCCCCACAGAATATCTTTTATTTGACCAATTCAGATAGCTTGAAAAATTCTACTAACTTTTCAAGCTACTTGAGTTGGTCTAATAAAAAATATCAGATTCACCCAAAAACCCTTGTCTGCCTGTGTCCTTAGACCAACACAGCTACCACCTACACCCCTCTCCCCACAAAAAAGATGACACTGGGTAACGTGGGGCCCGTGCAGGACACACTTGGAAATCTGGTGGTTGCACCAGATGATAAAACTAACCTTTTTTTAACAAATTTTTTGCCTCCATTTTAATGAGCAGGGACCGGGACATCCTCCCCCACCCCCCCAGGATCCCGGACAGACCCAGGAGAGGCGCAGCCAGGCCCAGGGGCAGTGAGGATCTAGTCAGGGAATGTCTGGAGGCACTGGACGTGTTCAGATAGGCAGGTCCTGACGCTCTCCACCCCTGAGCGCTGAGGGAATTGGCTGAGGTCATTGCGGGACCCCTGGTGCGGCTGTACGAGCACTTGTGGTGCTCTGGTGTGTGTGGTGCCAGAGGACTGGAAGAGGGCCAACGTGGTTCCCATCTTCAAAAAAGGGAGGAAGGAGGACACAGGAAACTATAGGCCAGTTAGTCTTACCTCGATCCTGGGGAAGCTCTTTGAGAAAATTATCCAGGAGCACATCTGTGAGGGGCCAGTGGGGGGGATCATGCTTAGGGGCAACCAACACGGGTTCATTAGCGGCAGGTCCTGTCAGACCAACCTGGTGGCCTTCTACGACCAGGTCACAAAATCCTTGGAAACAGGTGTCATGTTGGACGTAGGCGTTCTGGACTTTCGGAAGGCCTTTGACACTGTCTCTCCCCACATTCTTGTTAAAAAATTAGGCGACTGTGGCACTGATACCTACACAGTCAGATGGGTCACAGATTGGCTGGAGGGCCGTACCCAGAGAGTGGTGGTGGACAGGTCTTATTCGACCTGCAGGGATGTGGCCAGGGCTCGGTCCTCAGGCCCGCACTGTTCAACATCTTCATCAGCGACTTGGACGAGGGGGTGGAAAGCACCTCGTTCAAAGTCATGGGCGACACTAAGATGTGGGGGAGAAGTGGGCACGCTGGAGGAGAGGGACAGGCTGCATCTAGACCTAAACAGGTTACAGGGGTGGGCGGATGGGAACAGGATGGGATTCAACACTGACAAGTTCAAGGTGCTGCACCTGGGGAGGAAGACCCAGCACCATACCTACAGGCTGGGGAACTCCCTTCTCGTCAGGGCAGAGGCAGAAAAGGATCTTGGAGTCATCATTGATGCCAAAATGAACATGGGCTGGCAGTGTGGGGACGCGGTCAGGAAAGCCAACCGCACCTTGTCGTGCATCCACAGATGCATCTCGAGCAGGTCCAAGGAGGTGATCCTCCCCCTCTATGCAGCACTGGTCAGGCCGCAGCTGGAGTCCTGTGTCCAGTTCTGGGCGCCGCACTTCAGGAGGGATGTGGACAACATGGAGAGAGTCCAGAGGAGGTCACTCGCATGATCATGGGGCAGCAGGGCAGGCCCTACGAGGAGAGGCTACGGGACCTGAACCTGTTCAGCCTCCACAAGAGAAGGCTGAGGGGGGCCTGGTGGCCGTCTATAAACTTGCCAAGGGGGGCTAGTGGGGAATGGGAGAGACCCTGCTCCCCCAGGCACTACCAGGAGTAATGCGGAATAACGGCCGTAAGTTGACTGGGTGTAGATTCAGAGTAGACATCAGGAGGCGCTACTTCACGGTCAGGGCAGCTAGGATCTGGAACCAGCTTCCCAGAGAAGTGGTGCTGGCTCCTACCCTGGGGGTCTTTAAGAGGAGGCTAGATGAACACCTTGCCGGGGTCATTTGACCCCAGTACTCTTTCCTGGCATGGCAGGGGGTCAGACTTTATGATCTGCTCAGGTCCCTTCCGACCCAACCAACTATGAACCTATAAAAATGCCTCCCTGAACCGGTGAGTCTCCAAGGTGCCACCTTGCCCTTTCTTCTACCTGACTTCAGACTAACGCAGCTTTCCACCTCTATGTTCACCACAAAATACTCTTGTTCTAATAATCTAGAATGAGGCATAAGAAATTTCCAAATTGCATGTTTCACACAGAATAATTTTGCAAAAAATAAATGTGCTTAGGTTTGCATTGAGTTCTGGAATTTCCCAGCTTGGTCTTTTGTCTATGTTGGACTGTGAACCCTTGCGTTTTCACTGGTGATGACCAAAGAAGAAATCCTTGAGTCCTCAAACTGGGTGTCCATTTATAGAGAAATGGCTTTTTCCTTTTGAAAAAGGCTGTGGTTAATGTGGAGAGTTTCAAACCAAAACCTGGGGTAATGAGGACAAATGCAATGAGAATTTATCAGCTTGATGCAGGAACTGCTTGTTGGCATTATGTGGCCTTTGTTCTGAGGGAGGTCAGACTAGGTGACCGAAGGTCACTCTCTGGCCTTAAACTCTGCGAATTCAGAGCAGGGGGCTGGACCTGATGATCTCATGAGGTCCCTTCCAGCCCTAAACTTGTGTGAATACATGAATCTCTGCCCTGCATCATCCAGTGCAGGTAACAGGATTGAAGTAGAGGGGTTATGTCACATGGGAGCGATATCAGGAGATAGATGATAGGATTTTCCAATGTGCCCGCCCCATTCCTAAGCAGCTTCTGGCACCTAAAATGCTTCTTTGAAAAGATTAGGCTTCCTGTGGACTTAAAGCTGAATTCGAGCTGTACTCCAGCAAATTCACAGGAGCTTACACTAAATCCGAATCCGCCTCGAGTCTCGATAATAAATGTTAATAGCACCCTGGCAGTACCCAGTGAGATCAGTGCAGCTGCGTTGTGCGGATGGTTGCAGAGCCCCATCATCTCTTGTTGGAGGAGGAGGAGAGTCTACGATTAAAAGTGTTATTTGCAGAATTTTCCCAAGCACTTTGTAATAAAGGGCCTGTTCAATCAGAATATTTGTGTACTCACGATGGTTGGAGACCTCATTGAGTCCATTGTCAGATTCTTTTAATTAACTTTTCCCACTTTTTTAAATATGGACCCAAGGCTCTCATTCTCCCTTTCCCAGACTGGTAACACTTACTGTTGTCTTCGTTGCCCTTTCAAGGGATCTAAAAAGTGCTTGGCTCATCAGAGCTCAAATAGTGTCTCCTTTCCTTCCCCAAATAGTTTGTAGACTCATTTCAGGCACATAAACTGATAGACGGGGCAGGAGGGGAAGAGAAGTAGCAATGGTGTAAGAAGGAAAGGCTGCGGATAAAACAAGCAAGGCTAACATGGTTACTGTGGTGCTTGGGCAGGAGTTCAATGTCTTTATCTTATCAGTGAGAATAACCGAAGATGCTCCAAGTCTCTCCCTCCTAAAGGTAGACAAAATGAGGTGATCGCCAAGTGCTATCAATGGAAGAGCTCATAGTAGGAGCTCTTGTAGCTTTAATTGGGACTTTCCTTTTAACTGGAGGGTCAGAGCCCCGTGTATCTGGAGCTGCAAGCGCTGCTTCTACTCCAAGATTTGTTGATCTGTGTGCTTTTTATAGTTGCTCAGACAGATATTGATGCTACCAGTGTCCAGATAAATAAAGGAATAATTGAATAATTTTCTGTAACCTTTTGCAGGATTGGTCCCCCTTCTCTCTCTCTTTGCTGTTAGCACTTAACATTCTTGTTTTCCACCATTGCCAGGTTTTTGTACAAAACCTGACGGTATTATTGGCAGTCTAGTCCAGTAAGTGTGGGAGTTATACATAGAAACATGCACAATTTCTGCACGGTAGAACTGGAAGAGATTGAACTTATGAACGTAACAGGGTTGTTCAAAATGTTCTTGTGGCAAAATACGCAGCTGTAATTGTACTTGGAGCAAAGTGTTGACATTTAGTGTCTGCGTCGAACTCTGTAAGGGAATGTGGCACTGAGGTCAGAAAAAAATTAAGCAAATGACATTTTTAAACTTTTGGATGCAGGAGTTTTGCATGGAGGTGGATGGATTTAATGCTGTTGCCGGTGGTTTAGATTAATTTGATCTGTTTTTCAGGGTGCCCGAGAAACCTTTGAGAACTATTACAGGAAACAGAGAAGAAAACAGGCCAGATTGGTGCTGCAGCCCCCTTCAAACATGGTACGCCTGTAATAGCTTTAGCCATCACAGTTGCTTTGCTTGATAAAGCAGCAAAATGTTGTCTCCACATTGTTGCGCTTGTGTGGTCTCTTGTTTGTTTCCAGTTTCATTGTCCTCCTTTGTTTGAATCCTTGTTCACTTTTCTTTGTTGCAGCATGAAACATTAGACGGCTACAGGAAGTATTTTAATCAAATTGTAGGGTAGGTATTCTTTTTATATACACATTCTCTAAATGTGTGTGTGCTGTGTTGTTGAATGGCAAGCAAAAAAGGAAATGTTCATCTTTTTGACAATTCACTTAAGGAGCCAAAGCAGGGAAACTGCGGTTTGTGCTTCCGAAGCATCTGAGGGAGAGGCGTTTTAGTGTATCCGTAAACTTTGTCACCGGTGCCAGCAGTTTAGAGACTTACCAGTTATTCTGCACAGTTTGCATATGTGGGAGTAAACATGGCTTGTGCACCGTGTATGGCAGCTGAGTACTGGGATGAGCTGAACAAGCCAGAGTCGCACTGGATTATGCTGATGGTGTCACCATCTTGGTCTGAATGCTGAGACTTTTCCCTGAGGGAGGTCAGCAAGGAGTTGGGGTGACATGGGCATAAGTGTGCAGCCTCTCTCCTTGTGGGTACAGAAAACTCCTGGCTGTTGCAGCCTGGTGTATGGCCTGGTCTTTCAAAACCAGCCAAACTTCGAGAGAACAGAACCTAGGGCGGCTGTTTTGGAACAAATGGGGTGGCCTGGAGAAATGCTAATCAACCAAGATTGGAAATGACTTTCTATCCATCTCGGTAGTCGGCATTAATGAAACGTACAGTGAAGCCTGGCTGTTGCTTTAGAGCAGTGGTACCCAAGCTTTTGGCCCCACAGGCTGGAAGAGTGGTGCAGGGAGGGTCTGCCTCCAGTCTGGGGGCCTGATCTAACATGCCATGTTGCAGCTGGATTGGGCACAGATGGAGCCCACTAGCCTCTTCCTCAGCCCTCCTGCCTGAGTGGGGGCCCTGGTGCCTCCTGCCACCCCAGCCCTGTGCACTCTGCGTGGGTCCCCACCATTCCACTCTGCTCACAGCCCCATGGTGCTGGGTTGGGCCACTGTGCATAGGATCAAGTCATTTGGGCCATGAGGTGGTGACAGTGCTAATTGCCATGACCCCCACCCCAAATTTTCAGACCCATGGGGAGTCAGATCACGTGGCTCCACATGTCATACCTTGAGCACCCCTGCTTTAGGACACATGGCTGAATGTTCCCCACTGAGTAGAGATTTACTGTCTAGATTCTGTGCATTGGCCTTTTTTTAATGTGTTATACACAATTTTGCTGTGATTTGCTACCATGTTTGGTAACAGGAGAAATGGAGATAATTATTTTATTCTGATGGACTGAGCTTTCTACTAGATTCACAGATACCAGCTGGCTTAGAAGAAATGCCAGTAAAAGAAAGACATAGCAGAGGTGTCTTGGGAGTGACACAGCTATACTCTGATTGCTGCTGGCTGGACCGATGCTGTTTTAATCAGCAGTACATCTTAAGCGAATGGATAGATAACTTCAATTAAAACTCTGTCCCTCTCTATGCACAGAATCCCGTTCCTAGGAAGTGACATTTTTTGTTTTCTGAACTGCTTTTTTTAGTGTGTAAAATTAAAAGATAACTTTAAAAAGCCAGAGTAAAATGGGGCAAGATTATTACAGTTCACCCATCTCGACAGTCCAAATGCAAAAACAGTATTTCAGGAGAACAACTTTACCTTGGAAGGACTGAATAACTCACTGTCATAAAACAAAATAGTAATATGGCTAGGAGAGATGCCTGCACATTAGTTATATAATTCTTTTCTCTCTACAGCTGGTGATTTGAGGTTTTTTGCTCATTTTGTAAGTCATTTGCATGTGATGTTTGTAAAACCACATGGAAGTCATGGACTGTAAGCTCTGACTGCTCTGCCACTTTCTTTCCTGTTAGTTTTTTTGTAGTTGAAGATCACATCTTGCATACAACCCAGGGCTTGGTAAACAGAGCCTATATTGATGAGCTGTGGGAACTGGCTTTGTCAAAAACCATCGCAGCCCTAAGAACACATTCGGTAAGTAAAAGCTACTGATTATTCGGCTGCTGCTGTGAGTATGACCCGATGCTTTGGAAGGTTTTATTTTTTATTGTAGCATTGTTCGGGGTGGGTTGGTCAGTTCGTTGGGTGTTTTGGGATGGAGATACTGGTGGTGTCTTCAGGAAGTTTTTTTTGGTTCTGTGAACCCTGGATCCCCCAGGATCTTCTGCAGTGAAGCCACATCTGTTCAGAAGACTGGGTCCTCATTTCAGCTCTCCATTATTTGGTCAAAAGCAGTGAGGACTCATGGTAGAAGTGATATCTTTTATTTGACCAAGTAGATTTTTGCCAAAAAAAAAAATCATTAATTCATTATTTGGTCAGTCATTTTAAAAGGCCCCAGCAGAGGGCCCCAGCTTGTTCTCTACTCAATGAATGTCTCTATTTGAGATACAGACCGGTTTGGTATTCCCTTCAAATCAATGCCAGCGCAAGACACTGCCAAGTTAAAAATCATATGGCTTTTTAAAAACAAACATGTAGATTTCCTTTCTTATGTTAGTGTCTTGCACGATTAAAATTGAAGGGATTTAAAAGAATTTAAATTTACTTTTCACCACTTGTGCGACAGTTATACTTCTGGCATTTGTCTGTTTGGGCAAAACGAGCGCTAGTCAGTTTTACTTTTCTTCTCATGCTAGCATAATGCTGCCCTGTTTCAGTCGCAAACTTTAAAAGGGAATTTTTTTCAGTGTCTCCATGCATGTTAAGGGAAGAAAGTTCCCATTGGTCTACAGTTTTAGAAGAAAAATGTAGATTTTTTTTTTTAGGTCCCTTACAATTCTTTTGATATTTTTTTTTCTATGCTACTCTAAAATTAGTTTAAAATTAACAGCTTCTTCCTGTGGGGGAAACAGTAAAATAATATTCAGCTACTCTCAATGACAGCTGGTGAGTTCTGAAAATGGGGAGAAGGTGTTTTGAGTCAGTTTCTGGCAGGTACATCTTACTGGATCCAGCTGCATATAGGCTGCCTGTATATGTGCTTGCAGGTGGGGAGGGAGGTGTTTTAATTCGAGCAGTTCCCGGACAGCTGCTCTAACTAAAATGCTTCACCGTCGCATATATTAAACCCCCTGTGTTTCAGAATGGTTTCTGGCTTATTTCCTAGGTCCACTGTTTTTCTGACAGGAAAGCCTCGAAAGTGTGTAGTGTGCAGGGCACAGTTTGCTGTTTACTCTTAAACCATTTTCCATTCACTTAGTTTTGATCTTAATGGCCGTGTCTGAATTGCATTATAAAATAGCAGTCCGGCTTTGCTACCGTGGCTGTAGCATGGGTTCCCCATAGCTGGGGAACGCATGCTACAGACCTGTTGCTCTCAACGTGCCCTTGAATAAATACAGCATCTCCCTGTGGTCCTCAAATGTTTCCAAAGCATGGTAGCTCTTTTGATGCGGATAAGCCAGCAGTGCTCAGGCTGGCTCATGAAACACAAGCCTCTTTGCAGAAAATGCTAGTGGTGTGAGGTTTCCAAGGGTTTACGGCATGCATTTCATAATAAATGTGCTTAAGGCAAGGCTGCATGTGGGTGCCATAATGTTGGAAATTTGCCATACATCCGTAAATGTTGTACCCATCGGCTTTTCCCCCCTCTTGAACTGGAGGGTGTTTTGCCACTGTTCACCTGGGCGTGGTGGAAGTTGTGGGAGCTCTTCCGTTAACACTAACATCCTTTCCTTTAATGTGGAAATTGAGAGAAAAATAGATGCAAATATTACTAATATAAAGCCATGCTCCCTTTAATCCAGGGGCTTTTGGTGGCAGTGCAAACCATGAGAGTGAAGCAAACCAAAGTGCTTCTCTTCTCAATTCTAGTAAGTTTGGTGGTGTGGCAAGCTGTACTGGAGTTGCCGAATTTTAATTTGCAATAGAAAGAGGTCTTTAGTGATCAGAGTTGTGTGCAGTCCACCAGCATTTATACATGACTGCAGGAGTGTGCATAAAGACCCATCGTGTCCGTCACATGGTACTCAGATTTGCTGGGAAACTGTCACATTGGTGAGGCTGTTTCAGATATTTCTGTTCAGCCAACCTCTGCCTGGATTTCTTCCTTACATTTCAGTGGGACATCTTTTATCATTCCTGATAGCTTTAGGGCACCATCTTTCTCTTTGACTTTCTTTCTTTTTTTTGGACAGTGAAATGGAAAATGTCTCTTTCAGTCTTTCACGATGATTTAATAGAGTCCTTCCTTCTCGAGTTTCCAATGGGCTCTAAATCTGTTTCTTTTTCCAGGGTATGAATAGTGGTTCTATTTTTGGTAAGAGTCTGAAACTTTGCATATTTCACCTTTTAGTAAAGTTGTCTGCTAGTGTAAAGATGATGTGCAGTGTTACACGAGACATTTTGTGATTCTGATCTGCTGTGTCAGTAGGTGATATACTGTCAGTGGGCTGTATGCTCTTTAGACTGTGAGATCTTAGACCTGTAGACCCTTGTTGCTTGCATCAAAATCTGGACGTTAATTTTAATAGCCAAGCAGTTTGGTTTTTCCCTCCTGATGTCACCAGAACCTTCCAATTAAATGACGATCCTCTTCATAAAGGGAACTTGGGGGTATTGTGTGTTTTGCAATACCTTTATTAACATTAAATGCAATGGAATTAATATTCAGTAGTAGGTAATGCTAACCCCCTTTGGTCTGTCAGCATAATTATTTGTTTTTTAACCTTTTCCTCCTCAATCCTACGATTTGAAAACTGGAACTCCTAGGTACTTTAGGTTATATAAGGGCAGCTATGCTCCATCCTAGATGATTATTCATCATGTCGAGTCCCAAGTGCAACCTGTTGCAGAACGAAATAGTGCATCAGTATTTGTAACTTGTCATAACAAGCCTTTATTACACATTGTTAAAAGCCTGCTGATAGACAGGCCGTATCAAATGTCTCGGCATTATCACCTGCAATGAGGGATTACTGAAAGAATTGCTCCAACTTCTATTTGTAGAAATTAAAACCGGTTTTTGTTTTCACCCTGTCCCCTGCTCTAGTCATACTGTTCTGACCCGAACCTGGTTTTAGACTTGAAGAACCTCATAGTGCTGTTTGCAGACACGCTCCAGGTATGTGCCCCTCTCTTGTTTGCGCTCCTTGTGAAAGGATTTAAACCTGTTGATGGATGTCGGCTTGCCGTGTCAGCTTGCTTTCCTCTGCATTTGGTGAGGGGTGAATTCAGGTGCCAGACTGACGGTCTGGAAGCTAGCTTGCTTTCCTCACGGGGTGCACAACCTGCAGGCAGTGTCCATGGGCAGCTATACACGTGATTGACCTCTGCTCTGATTCATGCTAATTAGCACATCGGAGCAGACTCAGTTAATTAGCGCGCTGCAGCAGCCTCAGCGTTGCGTGGATTCAGCGTCCCTGCATTTCAAAATGAACTGAGGCGCTTTAACTAAAGCTTGTCTAACTAAAGCCAGGAGTATGGCTTCTGAATGGGAACTTCCTAGACTTTAAATGCTGGAGGTTGTAAGTGAAAGAGGAATAGGGGGGAGACCCTGGTCATCCCCTGTTCACTCTCCTTTTCAGCATTCATTCTCTGCCACTGCGCGACACAGGATATTGGGTCAAATGGACCTATGGTATGACCCAGTAAATGGCAATTCTTAAGCCAGTAGTGTTCAGCCACTACAAATCTGGGTTGAATTTGAATGGGCTATTAGGAGTGAAAGTCATTTGCGTAGTTTCCATATCCCTGGGCCATCCAGTCTTTAGAGCAGTGTAAATTTGGTGACTTTGAGAAGAGCAGAATCGACTTTCTAATTCCCGTGTCTGCAGTTCTTCACTGAACTAAGTGCTGTTTTTTTTTTTTAATCACAGGGATATGGATTCCCTGTAAACCAGCTATTTGACATGCTGTTGGAAATCAGAGACCAATACAGTGAGACGCTCCTTAAGAAATGGTCAGGAGTTTTCAGGTAAGAAACTTTTGAAGAAAAAATAGGCTGAATAATGCACATGAATGTTACAAGTGTATCAATTTTTTTTCTTATTCAAAGGAGCACTCGTTACATGCTTGCATATAAATGTTGGCCTCTATTAAACTAGCTGTGAACTATCATCTTGGGACAGGGAAAGAAAATACAAAAACACCATGGTGCGCATCTCGTAGATGGGTATGCTAACTGTGTGACATCAACTTATGCTGTACCCTGGACCACCTTCTGCATGGGATACCTTCACTATAGTGCAGACTTGCATAATTGGCATCCAGGAGCAAGCATGCCTGTGGTCAAGTCATACCCAACTTCCTATGCTTGGAGGAGAGCCACATGCATTAATGGGCATCAGAAGAACTCTGGGAATGTATCCTATGATGCTTTGTGGTGCCATAAGCTGAGCCCCTCGACAACTCATTTACAGCAATCTGTGGGGGAATTTGCCTGTCTCTTTCTGGGTCTGTGGGGGTTTATGAATGGCCATTGGGGGACTACAGTATTCAACGGTTTAGCTTGCATCTTCGGGGAAAATGTTACTTGGGCTTTTGGTTCTAACTTGACAAGGTCCAAAGCACCCCCAAACTGGGTCCAGAGGGGTGTGTTTGGAGGTAGGAGGAAGGGACCTGAATAAGGCCTAGACTACCTCTTTGGTAAGGATGACACCCATAATCATGGGCCATGGAGACTATTAAGCCTATTTCAGCTGTTTCAAATTAAGCCTTTACAAGCCAACTCATGGCACCCGTTTCTTGTATCATAGTACAGTGTTGCAACATTACCATTAACTTACTCCATCATCTGTTTGCAAATACCTTTGTACTGCTGGTGAGGCTGGCCCATCTGCACAGGAGCAAATTTCCACCCAAAGTCACGTTCGACACCACTAGATGCTTTCCCCATGGAGGCTCACTGTAATTGTTCTTCTGTTTTACAGAAATATACTTGATTCGGATAACTACAGTCCTATACCAGTAGCTAATGAAGAAATTTATAAGAAGATTGTAGGGCAATTCCCCTTCCAGGATGCAGAACTTGAAAAGGTAAGGAAAGCTTATAACGGGCCCCTGTCAGGATAAAAGTTCCTTTGTGTACCATTAAAAGTCAGCTGCTGCTTCTTGGTTGTTACCAACATTTAAGGCTAAAGTGGGAAGTATTTCAAGTGCACTTTCCCTGGTTTGTTTTTGTCGGTTTGGATGAAGCAAATAATTTGTTAGCGTCTAGTCAGTTTTGCTTTCGGATCATTATGTGCAAGCCCGGCTCTGCAGCGCGTGCAGTCTAAGACAAGGGAGATGTAAAAATATCTGCTCCCACTGGAATTTTACTTTAATTTTAAGGAAATGTTTGGATTGATCTTATTTATTTGTTTTAATTTCTTCAGATTTCTAAGCGAGCTACATCCTGGATTTTGTAAAAGCTTGTTTTCACAAAATGTGAAAGAAGGGCCAAATTTGACTGAACCAGTGTCTCTCAAAAGCGTGCTTGGCTGTGGACTCAACATCTGGTAGACAGCATGATCCCAGCCTGGGCAACATAATTATGAATGGCAGATATTTTTTTCCAATCCTCTTTAAGCATTTAGGCTTTAAAAAGTCCATTCCCCCTCCAACCTAGGGTTGAATTTCTTTCCCTCTCAGGGCCATCTGTGCTGTAGTTGAATCCAAGCTAAGGAGGGTGTTGTTGCAAGGACGAGACCTCTGCTATTGGTGGTGGAAACACAGAAATGGTGGAAAGAGACTGAGGAAAGTGTCTGGTGTGGGGCACAGTGGGCAATCCAAGCTGTGGGGTCTTCCAGTGCGAGTCATGGATCCAGGAGATGGGCATGGGAGTAGTTTTCTTCCGCCTGCTCCTTTTGAGCTTCACGTTCCCTTCCAGGCCCACTTCAGAATCCAGATCCTTTACACACCACTACGCCATTTGTAAGCGATTATCTGGTCTTTTACTTGGCTGAACGGCTTATATAATATACAATAAATGCTGGCTGCTTGTTTCATTGCTCAACTTAGCTGAATATTAGAATTAATTTGAATACTTGGAACGCGTTGTTGGAAAGCAGCTCCCTTGCCAGGCTTGGCCGTGAGGAGTTTCTCTCTGCTGAGTATCTGCTGCGGGGCTTATTTGAATTCTCTTGCACTTTACAGCAACCATTTCCAAAGAAGTTCCCCTTTTCCGAGTTTGTGCCTAAAGTTTACAGTCAGATTAAGGAATTCATCTATGCCTGTCTGAAGTTCTCCGAAGACCTTCATCTGAGGTAAAGTATGACTCTACCCGCAGTTACTCACGGAAATACAAAGATAACTTTGTAGTTTCTATTTCTTTTTGCTGGAAAATCTCACAAAGCTTTATAAATATTTCTTTCCTTAATCCTCTGTCAGTCAAACTGACTTGGATCCCACTCCTCCAAGCGAAAGGATGGAGACGGCACACTCCCCTCTGTTGTGATATGAGATTTTGTACATATAAGCGTCCTGCTGCTTTCTATAGGAGAAGAGCCCGGTACCTTGCTGGCTTCCTCAGTGGCTAGTAAAAAATTGGGGTCACTTCCTTTGGGACACCTCCTCTGACTTGTTTGCAGCGTGCAGCTTGACCCCACTGGAGAGGGGTAACCATGGCCATTTTGAGTAGACCATCAGACATTATGGAGGCTGAGACTTCTCTGAGCATCTGTCTTGAAAAGTGCTTCTGAAAGGATGGTCAGGAGCTTGTTGAAGCTAAAAATGTGGGTATCCTCTTCTGTACAGGGGCAGAAAGTATGGAGGATGGCTTATGAAACTCTTCTGGGAACTTGTAGGTCAACTAGCTTCCACCCTGAATTCTTAAACCCCCAGTGCAACCTCTTTGGGAGCCAAGGGGATGTTGCATAATGGTTTTACTCCTGAAAATTCAGACTTGCCCCACTTATCCTGCTCCAAGGGATGCTTTTAGACAGGGCTTCCTCTTCAGGCCATTCCTCTTTCCTTTCCCTTTGTTGACTTCACTTTCCCCACTGGGCTCTGTGAAAATGGCAATGTAGCATTACAAGCATGTTGTCAAAACCAGGAGTGTGCTCCACCATAGGATCATAGGAAAGGAGGGCTCGAAGGGACCTCTCAAGGGCATCTAGTCCAGCCCCCTGCTCGGGGCAGGATCATCGATGACTAAACCATCCCTTCTTGGTCCTATGTGCACTATGAGAGGACAGCAAGAAACCCTGCTCCTTAATACCGGCGGTGTCCATGCACAGCTCCCTTCTCCCCATTTAGATCAGATATCCACCTGTGCCTCTTCAGAATGGGGACCTCCCCACAGACCCTCTCAGCAAACATCTGCACTGCTTTAAAGAGGTCTTAGAAAAGTCATGAATAGTTCTGCAGGCATCTGGCTATGCAACCAGTTTGTCCAGGGCAGTAGTTTTCAACCTTTATTAGACTTGAGTTATCCCCTTGTTTTAGACTCCAGGCACCCCTCCAATAATGTCAGTTCTTTGCTTTCACTTGTTTTTGGCCTACAGAAAACAGTAGAGCAATTCTTCTGTTGAAAGAACTCAGTAAAAGGCCACAGTAGGGCTGAGTGATCTTAATGGTATGGACTCCTATTTGAAACCTCTTGGTTGATCTTATGAATCATATTTGTACACCTACCTGAGCTAATGTTGTGTAGCACCCTTGAAAGGATGTCAGACCACCCCAGGTGCCATGGCACCCTAGTTGAGAGTTACTGGTTTTAAGGCCAAGGACAATCATTCGGACAACTAAGCTCAGGACAGCCAAAATGCTACCACCCCAGGCCTCCACTACATGGATTAAAGGAGAAACTTCTCCAGCTGGCTATTTCAATAAATTCATGAATTTCATGAAACAGTCTTGGAGGGAAGGACTCCTAAAGTTTCACTTGGCAAGGGTAAGACCATAATCCCCTTTATATATATATAGGGGCTGACTTCAGCCAAAGGATTCAAGATCCTTCATTTGTTGGCGGGGGAGAAGTGTACCCACAGGCCTAGCTTGGTAGAAAAGTATTTAAAAAAAATAAAAGAATTAAACAGCTGGAGAGATTTCCTGTTCAACCCTCCCCATTTCCCAGCCTGTGAGGTAGGTGTGTAGCATGTATACTCAGGCCCAGACCAGTCAAGAGACTGGCTCAGGGTTGCATAGTATTGTCCAAGTCAGGAATAGAAACCAAGATTGGAAACCAAAGGGCTGGAATTGTCACTTGCATCGCATGCTTTCTCTGCTAAATACTCGGCTGCAGTCAGAGCATTGTTTTCATTGAGCTCCGTGGCTCCAGAAATTCCAGCTCCTTCTAGATAGGTAACATCTTGTGTTTTT